AGATGTAAAATAATTGTCAGATTTCATACCTAAATCTATCGTTCCATATAGCACGTGGGATATTTGCTAACGTTATCACTCCCTTGATAGTCTCTTGCAGTACATGCCATGTTTTATTAAAATCCACTCTCTTGGGTTTTAGTGACATCCTTCCCTTTGATCCACAAACCCTTTGATAACTTGATCACAATAACAATAACTTGTTAATTCCACAGAGAAGTGCACTCACTGTACACCATAAACCTGCAAAATAGCAAAGTCACTCATATTATATTTACATACAGGATTTGTGACACACATTCAAATATAGTTAGAAGCTTGACTTGTACAAGAATCAACGAATCGCTCGATGTTCTAACAAAAGCAATCCCAATCGAGGGTACATCCCAAGAATGATCTTTCGAAGTACAGAGAGAGACTGAGTTTACACGGCTTTGTTCGTGTGTTTTGTACATCGTCGGTTTAAAAATAACGTAAAAGTAAAATACACCACACGCGTATACACACACATACGCACATCTCACGGCCGTTCTAAATCTCCCCGCTACTCGTAACTTTACGCGGCAAGGTGACACTCTCCGCGTGAATCTTCAAACTCTAAACAACCTTGGCGAGTCATACGTAAACATTCGTCCGTTAGAAATGAAAATCTCGAATGTAATGGTGCGTGGTCGTCACGCTGCCACTGACGGAGGCGTGCGATGTGTACGAGCGTGTGCTCGGTGCACGCGTTACGAAATATCGATTCGAACAAAGGGGGACGTGTCGTTTTTTCCTCCGACGCTCGGGACGTGGCGGAGTCGGGGGACCGTCGCGCGTGGGACTACACGCGTGTACCCGCCATTGGGGGGGCAGGTACGACACAGCTGACTGGCTCGGCACTCGGCTCCAGATGGACCGCGTGCCGCGGGTCGGCCTAACCAAAGAATTTAGCGCGGGAGGTTACGCGAACCACCGAGACGCGAGCTACGCGTGGTTCCTTCTTCCCTGTGGCCGACGTGGTGACGAAACGTACCGGCCGTTTATTTTTGGGGCGGGGGCGCGAGGCACTCGCTGCCGCGACGGGACGATGCATGGCACTCGCGGCGATACGCCGAGTGCATTTTCCGTCCGTAGCTCCCGTCGCCTCCGCGCTGCTCCCTTTTTCCTTCCGCTTACGACTTTGACCTCGCACGCTCGTGTCACCGATGATCGTCGTCCGTTCCCTTCCCTAACCGCGATCACAGTTTTGCTCGAAATTCTCGGACTCGCAGTGCACTCTCCCGTGTACCCCCGTGCTCGATCGCGCGTTGAATCCTCAATAACATCGCGCGGCCATGCTCTCTTCGTGCGTGTGCGCGAGCGCGCAACGCACGATTTTCATTCGCTGTCATATGTGTGGCACCCGCACGTCAGACGTCGTGCCATTGACAGCGCGATACGTAAATCACGTGGCCACGGATCTATATAGGTAGATCGCAAGCGTGAAGACAGCACTAGTATAAGAGAGGGCGATAGAAAGTCAGACGTCAGAGAGTCGATTGCGTCGATTGTGTTTCTTGAAATAAGGTGAAAATTACAAAAGTGAACAAGTATTAGAACTTTTATAATTTTATTGATTCACATCAATAATGAATTTGATCTAATATTGGTGGAGATCAATTAATCATATTTATTTTGAGTATCAAACAGAATTAACTATCGTTATAAAAATTAATAATAATACTGAGAAGTTATCACTTATTTTTAGTATCAATAATTGTTAACTATAACTGGTCAATTAATCTGCACTTATTTAATTGTACTATTAACAGTACTGTTAATATTTAAAATAAATTATTAATTAATTATATAGTACTATACGTATTAAATTTCTACAAGAAGATGGGAAAAAAAGAAGAGAAGCAATTGCTTTCCTTGATTTTAGAAAGAAATGTGCATCCTTTTTCATTTCCATATCAGAAAGTATCTGACCCTATATATCTCTGTCTATTAATTAAAAATTGTCTATTAATTAAAAATTGTCTATTAATTAAAAACACAAGAACATAATACAGCTATACTCAAATTGATCATTTTCTATATTAATGCTAATATAACAGCTTTTTATTTTCTGTTTATTCCGATAATTTTCGATTTCTATGCATGAATTATTTCATAGAACGATTATACATTGATTAAAAAATCACATGATCGCATGAACATCACAAATTTGTGAAACTCGTTACGTTGTTTCCTCTTCCCACTTTTATTTAATTGGACTTTTACATTTAGCTCGCGAATCTCGCGATACGTTCACGCTTCTATATCGTTTATAACTCGTGGTCGTGACTAGCACTTCGACGCGTCCTGGCCGACTGTCTGATTGACGTTTTGGATTGTGAGGTGTTAGATATTTATACGAAAAGATGGTAAGTGTTTATTCGTTAAAAAGTATTCCTTACACTTTGTCGCATTGTCTCGTAGTCTAATTTCTTGTAATCGCAACTACAAGCCCACAAAGTAATGGACAATTATCTACAACTAGAGGTTAAGTTGCTGTCAATATACCAATGACAATTACCTTTGAGACAAATAATAATTTTCACATCATCCCATTCAGCACACTTTAAGGTTAATATTACATCTGTTATACAACAATTTTTCAAGCGAGTTAATTAACTGCAGAATACAAAAGTTCTCGTATCTTTCTATCCTATCTCTCTATCCTATCTCTCTGACCTATTTCTCTGTTCTAGTCAATTCTTATCCTTCTATTCTGCTTTCTAAAATTTTTTAATGAAAATTTTACTCTGAAGAATGAAATCTTACTCTTAAAGATTGAAAATTGAGATTCCAAGAATTTAGAGAGTAGTCACTCAATAACCTTGAAAAATTTATCATGATAAATATAATATCAGCCTTAAGAATGTCTCGAGAATGTTTTCAGGATATAGAGACGTCTTCTGGATGTCTTTAGGATGTCCTCGTGCTATGAATAGCTTTCTTGTGTACTCTTTAAAATTTGTAGAATGAATCTCTGAAGAATAAAATCTGACTTTTAAAGATTGATAATTGGGCCATTTTTTCAAGACTAGCTCAATCTTTACTCTTTAGAGTAAAGTACTATCTCAAAGAATTTAAAGAGTATTTCAACATATTTGTTCTTTTTTTGTAGAGCATCCTTGCGTATAATGGTGGCGCTGTGATAGCCATGAAGGGTAAGAACTGCGTGGCCATAGCAGCCGATCGCAGATTCGGTATACAGGCGCAGACGATAACGTGCGACTTCCAGAAGATCTATGAGATGGGACCGCATTTGTATGTCAGCCTGCCCGGTCTTGCCACTGACACCCAGACAGTCATGGAGAGGTTGCGCTTCCGCCTGAATCTATACGAACTAAAGGAGAATCGAAAGATTCATCCAAAAACGTTCACCGCTATGATCTCAAATCTCCTGTATGAGAGGAGATTCGGGCCGTATTTCGTGGAACCTATAGTCGCCGGACTGGATCCAGTCACATTTGAGCCGTTCATCTGCAACATGGACCTGATAGGCTCCAGAAATATGGCCGAGGACTTTGTGGTGGGTGGAACGTGTACGGAGCAACTTTACGGCATGTGTGAGTCGCTTTATGAGCCTAATTTGGGGCCTGAAGAACTATTCGAGACTGTCAGTCAAGCTTTAGTCAATGCATTCGATCGGGACGCAATATCTGGATGGGGTGCCGTTGTTTATATAATGTAAGTATCATGATAGGATTAGTACAAATGCGATTGATACTTATATTAATATACATTGCGTAAATTAAATGTATATATTTGGTTTCAGAGAAAAGGATAAGGTCACGAAAAGGACTGTAAAAACGCGAATGGATTAAATGCATTCATCTTTTATATCAATATGTGCGACAAAAATTTCATAATTATTGTTGTAATTAAGTCTAAGAAATATAAACAGAAACTTACAAATAACTTGTAATAAACTAAACCCCTAATACTATTTTAATGTCTTGATATTTAATATTATTCAGGGTTGGGAAAGTTACTTTATAAAAGTAACTAGTTACAGTTACAGGTTTTTTCTTTCAAAAGTAACTAATTACAGTTCCAAGTTACCGAGACTAAAAATTAACTCGTTACAGTTACTAAAAAGTAACTTTTTAGTTACTTTTTAGTTATGACAGAATAATATGAGTGACATCGATATTATTAGGGCTATTAAAGAAAAAAATAATTTACATTTACAATACAATTTTATTTAAAAATTCCTTTAATTTCGCGGGAATATACGCGAGATAATTCAAATAACGGACGAAATAATAAAATACTCTCTCTGGGCTGCGTTCCAAAACAGGGTGCGTTCCATTTACGTCTACAACGCTTGTATCACTTTATCCTTGTTGTTACAGATATTAAACAATGAAATAATACACGCAAGCGTTGCGGATGTTAAGTGGAACGCACCCTTAGCGCTACAAATGCTTCAAAGCATTTGATTGACCAATCGAAAGAAAGAATTTTACAAACTGACTAATCAAAAAATACTTCGAAGCATTTGTAGCATCAAGTGGACCGTAGCCTTAATCAGTATTCAGATTTTAATCACGTTAAATTGACAAGTAAGTTTAAAATATAAACTGTAAAAGTAATTGTTAAATTAGTTACTAGTTATTGGAAGAAATATAACTAAGTTAAGTTACAGTTACTGAAAAAAAGTAACTGTAACTATAATTATAAGTAACTTACTTAGTTATAAGTAACTTTACTTCCCAACCCTTTAATATCTTAAAAATTAATTTTTTTTAATTTTTGCTCTTTAATTGTTCGTCACTTCTTCTGCTTTTTCATGACATTTTTATATTTCATCTTTCCTGATTAAAATTATTTTTTATAGTTAATTTGATAAAAAATTCTCTAATTAGACAAAATAAGCACTTATAATTTTATTTTATTTGTTGCGACGCGACGATGTCGCCATCTGTAATCTGATACTCAAGTCAACTAAGTACAGACAGTACAGTTCAATCAGTTCAGTTCGAGAACAAAAAATGGAGAATGTATCTTGAACGCATGATGTGTGTGGTGTAATTGCGAAAAAACTTATATTATCTGCGAAAACTTTATCACTACAATGTCGATTAATACATTATGTGCTACATTTCGCAAAATTGCAGTGAGCAGAATAAGTATGTACCTTCAATAATTGAGATTTATGTAATTGTGTGTGAAACAATTATAACCTAGCATTGCTATCTACTTTATAAGCAAATATGTACCTGTATATTCCTTACTTCAAAAGTGGCACAACTCAAAAAATGAAGTTTCCCAGAAAAACGGAAAACTATTCTTCAATTTGACAGAAAATAATTGACTAATCGAATAATATCGGCAAAAGAATAACACGATCAAACGTCATTTTTGTCATTTTCGTTTTATAACTCTTAAAAAACTTTTTTTTTACGTTATGACAATTTTTTATGACGTTAATTACTTTTGATGATTGACAAAGTAATATTTACTTGAATAATTTATGATAATAACTTATAAATCATGTTCTTTTAGTCTTAAATCACTTTTGAAGTAAAGGTGATAAATGTATACATATACATATTAGATTATTGTTAAAATAGAACATACTGTTTAAATTATTGTATATTATAAGTAAATATGAAATAATATATTTGTAAATAATTTAATTTCTCTATTCTTGTCTATTTCAGGTACTACTACCGCTGCTGCTGCTGCAAGGTATTCGACACAACAATCCAACTGCAATGCAAATATAATTTCTCATTTAACGTCTGATAATTGCATGCAGTGTGGTACAGGGTCGATGTACAACATAAAATTTATACCGCGAACACTTAATATAGATTTTGGAATGCCTACGAGAGGAGATTTAATAAGAAATATTATTGAAATTCCTACTACCACTTTGATTCCTCCATTGCAAGAGCCTACGAACCGTTTGCCCATTCAATATGATTCACCTATGCTAGAAAAGTCTCTAGATTTACCTACGAATGAAAGAATCATAGAGAAACAGGCGGTAAATATGATAAGAATCAGGCGTAAGAAAATGAAGAAACACAGACGAAGGAAGTTGCGCAAGAAGATGAAATTTATATTGGAAAAGGTAAGGCTGAAGAGAAGACAGAGGACTGAGAAATTGTTTCAAACTGAACTAATTGCCAAAGTTAAAGAAGCAGAAACGTTTGATGCTGAGGAGTATGTCAAGGAGAGATTAAGTATCTTGAATAAGAAGATATTACCAAGAACTTTCAGAGGTGAGATTTTGCCTGCTGAGATGATTAAACAATTTTTGGATGAGAAAAGAGCAAAAAAGGAGGCTAAACGTAATAAACCTCGTTTAACCTTATAATTTATGTATAAGTTGTGGCAATAAAGTTTTATTAGAATGGTAATTATGGTTCTTTTTGTAATTTATATTAAAAAAATAAATAATATTTGTCCCTGAAAAAAAAGGGGGTAATTAAAAGAAAAACAGGATTAAACACACAAATAGATTTACTTTCTTATAAAAAATAAATTACTTATACAGTCATTCATTCATCAAAGCTTTCATATATAACGATCGCATTAAGGCATTTGTAACAGATGAAACTTTATCTTCATTCATTATGATTTTGGTTTTTTGTACATGATTATAACAACTGATACTTAATCTACTGCTCTTTTTAATAAATATATGTTTGGAAACTTTTTATTTGGTTCTACATTATTAGTTGTGTATTGACATGCAAGATACCTTCATGAATTTATAAAATAATTCCATAGGATGCTCTTTATAATTTCGTATTTGTCTTATGCTTACAACTCCCATTAAGCTGTCATTACACATAGCACATATTACAGTTTAATACTATGATTTAATAAATAGCATCACTTTTTTAATCATACATACTCTGTTAATTAAGTTGTCAAGACATAATTGGTCTCTTGTGTTTTACATCTTCAGGAGGAAAATTGAGACATTAAAATTAAAATTTATATTTACTACTTTGTTCAAATAATATCTCGTGTGTGGCTTAAGATTATGAAAATGTTAATGTCTGCTAATTGCATATAATTAATCATTTTCATGCTTTGTAAACAAATACATGCTATAAAATAATATAACATTTTGTCTCTAAAAACTTCTTTGATAATATTTTAAAATTATAACGTATATATATTTTCTTGTTTTGTCTTTATATTTTGTTTTATCTTTTCATCGTTTGTCTAAAAATATTTTATCTTCTAAGGTATTTGTCACAAAGCAAACGTCAAAGTTTTAAAGTACTTGCCCATTTCATTGTCTTTATAAAAGTAAATAACATTCTTAGTCGCTAACAAGCAAATGCTTTTTTTTCTAACTAAAATAATTCTTTCAAAATAAGCCACATTGCAAAATTTCTACAATTAAAAATGGTCCTCCCTTTCACGGTAATATCTGGCCTTTTTTAATTTCTAAAACCTTTGGCTTGTTACTCATTCTACCGGTCATCAGAGCATTGCTTCTACCAGAGAAATAGTCCTCAATCTCTTGTAACGTTCTATCTTTAGTTTCCGGAAGGCATATGTAGAAGTATATCGTGCCAAACAAAGATATACAACCGTAGAGAATGAATGTACCGTGGCGAGTGAGTACGCTGGCCAGGAACGGATAAGTTTTAACTACCATGAAGATAAACGAATGCGCGCACATAGTAGTAAGTCCACCGATAATACCGCGTACTTGCACGGGATAAACCTCGCCTATCATCACCCACGGAATCACTAGGAAACCCAAAGTGCAAGTGATGGTGTATAAGAATATGCACATGACGGGGATCCATGTGGCGACGATTGGAAGATCATTCTCGACCCAGTAATTTTTCAACCACATATATCCACCTAATCCTACCATAGAAAGTCCGCATCCGATGGAGGATACCATTGTGAGCGGTCTCCTGCCGCATCTTCTACATAGGACGCAAGCGACGATAGTAGAGGTGAGCCTGACTATTCCCAGTATAACCGCCGCTAAATATTTGTTCATACTTGCTCCCGAGTCTTTAAAGATCTCGACGGCGTAAAAAGTTATAACGTTGGTGCCTGACCATTGGTATATCAAGAAGTACAGAAACAGCAGGGCGAAAGGTTTGAGCGCGTTGGGTTTTAGCACAGCGCACATGATCTCCCGAAAGCCGGTGAGTCGTTTGATGTTGTTCTTGTTAGAGAACTCAACCAACGTCTCCATTTCCTGATTCACGTTGTAAGTACTGCCGCGGAATTTCTGTAGCGCCTTCTTGGCCTGGTCTGGTTTGCTGCGCGATATGAGGTAGGATGGGGTCTCCGGGAAGAAGAACATCAACACCAATGCGGTAAATGGCACAATACCACTGATAGCGGCGCAGACGTTCCATGTAACTATACTTCCTAGAGCGTATTCTATCAGAACTCCTGTGCTGACACCGACGCTCGCAAGCGCGATCAGCATTCCTCGTAGATGTGGTTGTGTCACCTCGCTTGTGTAGACGCGGGCTGGTGCACCCACCATACCAGATCCTAGACCGACGAAGAAACGACCAGCATATATCATGTGTATATCGGTCGCGAATGTAATTAGCAGCCATCCGAGTACCGCCGGGATCTCCGTGATGATAAGTGAACGCTTTCTGCCGAACATGTCCATCATGTAGCCGGACATCAAGCAACCGATCGGCGTGCCAATAGAGGACATGCTAGCTGTAAGAAAAAAGAAGAAACCGATGAGAATTAATACATTTTTTCCGTAAGAATAAAATTTTAGAAGAAAAAAATCGACACTAACTAAAAGTAATATATACCGGTAATATAACATCATAATGTTAAAATAAAGGACAAAATTGAGTTTTGAAAAAATAAATAGATAAATCTAAAGGACAAGCTATCCGAAATAAAGGACTTTCCTTTACAAAAGATTAAAAGTAAAGGATGTATAGTCACCAATTGTATTACATTTATATTGCTGAGTGCGAATTATAACATTGATGTTATATTACTTTTAATTTGTGTTGACTGGAAAGAAAATATCTCGGAAGAAATTGTAGACTTTAAATCCTCCTCAACGACTTACCTATCCACGATTCCTCCGTCGATCCCTCCTTGATGGGAATGATGCTGTCTGGCTCCTGGAGCTGCGGCAAAGCGATGGCAGAGAAGCCGAATGTCATGCCCGTGTTGATGGTACCGAGCTGAGCAACCAGGGCGGCCAAGACTTGTCTGATGGCGCTACCCCTGGGCGGTCGGCCATCCTCAGGATCGCCCTTTGGGACGGCGCCGTTTGCCAGATTCGTCCTCTCATCATTGAGCAGCACGGACGGCTGGATTTTCGGAAGCAACGTCGAGTTCACCAGCGTCGCCTTCTCCGGGTCTTGCGTATCGCTATTTTTTCTATAAGAGGAATGATTATTAATTACACAACGGGTAAACAACTCGAATGTATGTATATGCTATAGCTGTAGTGCACTATTATTTATATGTTATCTAGACGGCTGAGTACGTGTCGCGTTCCACACATACACACGCGGAAAGTTAACGATGGGAGCGAAATTTTTCGCATTCGCGATATTCATTATCGCGCTTACTGGAATATTTATGTATAACGAAGTGAGGGACAAGCGCAAGGTTACGTGTAATGCAAATTACATGGTGATTAGACAGAAAGTTCGATTACACAAGCATTATTTATTAATTTTCGTTAAAATGCAGAGGTATCGAACGATAATAAAATATGCAGTGACGTATTACCGTAATTGTTAAACGTGGAAAATTGTATGTATCTGCACGCTCGAGCTATTCACGTGCGAAGTCGATGAGAATCGATTCGGACAATACGTAATGGGCTTTCTACAACAAGCTATTAACTAAGCTTAAATTTTAAGGCGTAAGAAATTGACAAACCATAGTCGGTTATTCTTCTCACATTCGATTGTGATTGGTTAATTCCTTACGATTTAAGACTTAAAACTTAAGTAACAGTTTATTGTAGAAAGCCCATAATAGGCTTTTTACAAGAAGCCATTATCTTAGTCTTAAGCCATGAGAAATTGACCAATCACAGTCAAATGCGAGAAGAATAACCGACTATAATTGGTGATCAATTTCTTATGACTTAAGATTTAAAACTAGGCTTATTGTAGAAAGCCCATTAGATTTTCAGCATTCATTCGTCGAAATCGTTCTGAGAATAATACACGCAAGTACACGATAAAACTTTAATAATTTGAGGAGCGAGCATTGCAAGAGAGAGCGATATAAACATTGACTTATTATTATTTATTTAGTTCGACGGAAAGATAACAATTTATTTTCGTCACAGCAGATAACACGGCAGACGCCAAATGTTGTAAAGTATAATGTGCGGAATTTTCCACGCTAATGAAGAGAGATCATTTTGTCAATAATGATCGGTAATGAGCCTCAAAATCCCTTGTCGTAAAAGCATGTCGTTGTTGGCTGCAAATTTGGCTCGGATTTGATGACACTAAAATTAAATCCGACCTAAATGTTCCGCATTCAGTTTAGGGACGTTGTCGCACAAGCGTCTTAGAGATATATTCTAATAATTATTTTGATAATCTCTAATTCGTTTAAATCTAGCGAAAATAAAAATTGTATCTAATTCTTATTTTCGTCAGGGAACACTAGAACCGCCGATGGTATTTCGTTAGAATTTCGAAAGTGCCCATTTGGTAATTTTCTATAATTCTTATTTTCGGTTAATGAAAAGTTATTTCGATATTATATATTTGTATCGTTAGAATTATTTATATTACAAACAAAACGTCCGCTACTAATAACAAAAAACCTCATCGGTCTGAATTGGATTTTAGTGTTAAATATTTCAATGTGAATTATATAGATACATATCGATATGAATCATATAGATACATATCGAGTTCTGTGCAAACTGCGTGTCGAAATCGTTTTCAATCTTGAAACACAATCCTAAACTGAATTGAGATAATATCACAAATTAAATTAACAAGTAATTTAATGACATTGATGGAAATAAGCATCTTAAAAAACTAAGTAATTTAAACACTAATTTATTATGCACAGGTTGAGTCGTTGTACAGACGCCGAACAAGTCGGACGTCTAACCTGTGCATAATAAAAGGAGATTAAGAACAGAAACGTGTGTGTGTGGTCACCTATCCTGACAATCATTTCCTCCTGACAATCTCCTCATATATCCCGTCAGTAAATCCGACGTTAATCCCGAAGGGAAAGTAAAGCCTTACAGAATTTTGTTTAAAATGTTATTTTAAACAGAATGTTATTTAAAATCCAGCTCAGACCGATAAAGCTTTTTTTATACGTAGTTGTGCATTTGTATTACATTCACATATTTTCAATATTCTCTACTGTGGATCTAATACTAAAAAGAAAAAAATTGAAATGATTAGCGGAATCAAAATGACGTTATCGGCAATTCTAATATTAACCGAGAATAATAATAATAATCAAACACTTTGACTGTGTACAAACGTTTATATTTTTGTGATATAAATGTACAAATATTTACAGTATACTCTCCGTTTCAAACGTTTAATAATAATAATAATTAAACGTTTAAATTAAAACTATTAATAAAAGTTTAAAGTCAATATAATAAAATAAAATAATAATATTGATATTATACAATCATTATAATTATTATAAAATAATAATATTACAAAATAACAATGATTAACAGAAATAATATTAAATAAAGCATCTAATACAAAGAATCATTCCAGTCTGTAATAGATAAAACTAGACAAATGGAAAAATAGAAAAAATATAGTACAATATAGACAACTTGAGGAGTTGTTGCTATAATTCGTCTAGTTCCTAATGAAAAGAATATTTTTTTTCCATACGAATATACGCTAAAATATATATGTAGAATATGTATTTAAAATATTTTGCATTTGCAAACACTGCACAACAGCGTTACTGTTGAAAGGACAATGCCTAGTTTGCACGAAGAACGCGAAAGAAAAATCTTGACAAGAGAGAAGAAGAGCTATCGTAGAGTTTCTCGCAGTTTCTAGCAAGGCTGTGCGCCTGGATGATACAATCATCATGTATTACGACCTTTAAAATGAAAGGAAACTCATGTCACAAAGAATCGATTCGACGTGTATACATATTACGTTGATCTTCGATAACAAAGGGACTCATTATTCCTCGTTTTCATCCATTCCAGAATTTCGTCGATAATTCTTAATTTTACATGGAGGAGCAATAATGGCAAAAAAATGTAAGGTCGTAAAAAAAGGAAAGATAAATAAAAAAAAGGCCATAATCACCACGAAGGTCTTGTAATGTAAATTTGTGATAAAACAGCGATACGTTTTTGCCTCTTCCGTTTGTTTATCGGGCACGAGCAATAATTCTGTTCATGTGTGTGACTTGTGAGGAAAAGAATTTCCTTACGTGATGTGTACGCGAGAAATTATTTACCATGATTACAGAAAAGATTAAGGAGTCGACGAACCGTTGCCCAAGGAACACACCAAGTCAAGAGAAAGCCAAAATGACTTACTTGGACGTCAAAATGATGATTTTTAATTACAAAATTTTACTGTTTATTGACTTTAAGCATCAAAATAAAGTCTTTTTGACGTCATTTTGGTTTTTCGTTGATTTTTGTATGTTCCTTGGATGGTCGTAAGAGAAAGTGGGTGAATTGTGCGCACCTAAGGGAAATTTATTGTCCTGGAATGATTTTCCAAGTTCAAAGCAATATAAGTATGGAGAAATAGAAACTATAAACATTCTTCTACCATTCCATACGTATCCTCATATCGAACAGATTTTCATTCAATAAAGTTATATTTGGCAAAAAGGAAAAAACGGAAAAGCGAAAAAATTTCTCGCGCGTCGAGTAATTGTGCGCAAAGCAAAAGTCGTAAGAAATGAATGAATTATAGAATGTTGACAAAGAAATCAGAAAATATATTTATTATATTGCAACATAAATATATATTAAATATATTTTAAATATATATTATATATATTAAGCAAAAATACAAAACTAATATAATAATAATAATGAACATAGACTTTAGCAAGATAAAACGGCAAAACAAAATAATAATGCAAAGAAAAAACGAAAGAATTAGTGCTAGTCATATAGTATATGAAAGATGTGTAATTGTGTGCATTTCAAAACGCTTGCGCATTGTTGCCCGCCGCGACCTGACTCGATATGAAATACGATTACTTCAACTTTTATTTCTTAACCAAACTTAATAAAAAACAGCTCAAAAGACGCATGTAATAACATACTTCAATAACGTATGCAACTTTAAACAAACAAATTAAAAATACGAACTTACCACCTTATTTTCTGAACAGCTAAAATAACAAGAAAAGATGTTATTTCACTTTTTTGTATTTCTCTGGTTAGCAACGTATTTACGTCGTATCTTTGTAGTTATATCTTAAGAGGACGATCTCCTGCGTAAAAATTTCACCGTCTTCATCCATTGGAAAAGTACCAAATCAGGATGCGCACAATTACCCGCACAGTTCCCCCACTTTCTCCTATTCAGGGCTGGCATGTATTTGAAGTAGCTACTGTTATTTTAAAAACGGTATTTGTAAGATAATTGTATCTTCTATTTTGTATTTCACTATTAATAACGAAAGATTAAAAGTATTTTGTATTTTAAATATTAATATTTTAAATACTAATAATGATTAATCTTATTATTTAAATTACGAAATACAAAATAGAAGTTTTAATCTTTCAATTTTAAATACAAAATACGTAATACTTTCATGTGCACCGCTGAAATACAAAACATAAAATACACTTTTATTATAAAAACTATGTTTTAAGTAGAAATATTTCAAATACTCAGCCCTGGTCGTATTGCATAACCATGCGAATCGATCTCCGATAGTACTTTTACGCGCACCTGTATTAACAATTATGTATATTAACAATTGTATTTGTTTTTGAGAGATCGACAAGCATATTAACTTATTACTTGCAGATACATATGTGAGTTAATTAATGAAAATTGAACTCTCTGAGTTCTTTGGAGTCTCACTTTAAAGAGTGAAAATTGAGCCAGTCTTGAAAAAGAGTAGTTCAATTTTCAATCTTTAAAAGTCAGATTTCACTATTTAGAATGAGATACAATTTTAGAAAGTATATTTGCGCTTTTATCGCGTTTACTTATTAATAATTTCCTTTTTATTTTTATACTGAGTTCGAGGCGTATTTAAATTATCGACCTCGGTTTCTCCGGCGTTTTAATAATTTATCAAGTTAACGATGCCGTTCGCGTGTCACGAGTTTGCAACGTGAGTCGGTCAGATTATCATAAATAAAAGAAGCTATTTCTGTTTCAGATGATTGCCGAAGTTTGCATATCGGATCCAGCGCATGT